ATTAGAGTAAATACATCAGTCGAAAGGGTCTGACCTCCTGAGTACAAAACTGTAGTTAGATCTCAAATCGGTCAAGAGATGATGGAGCTAGGAGCTAAAAGTTTGTACTTGAAAAGAAAAACAACAAAAACTAGGAGCCGTTCTATGAGCCGCTATGCCGCTGTTAAAAATACATTTAGGAATTTTGAGTGCGCTAAGCAACGTAAAGACAAGTCTGCTTGAGATCGTTTAAAACACACAAGTAACATTTGTTATGGGTCCAAATGAAGAAACTGTCTTCATAAAGTCTGTTCATCTTGTTATTTACTCAATGAACAAAATCTGAATTTAAACATTCAAACATAAAATATTTGTCCACCTCTTTTCGAGTATATTCCTTCCTCCTCCAGGTTTTTATCCCATTTGTAAAGTTCAAAACCAGAAGCTTGCATTGTTGTTGGGGTTAGTACAAAGAACTGAAACACTTGAATGTAAAAATTAAAATATAAATCATTTTATATTTATCCATTTTTTCAGCTGCTTTTCCTGAAGTTATTCAAATCCAGTTAACAAAAGATTTTGATGAAAGATCATGTTGTAGTTTTAGTTTGTACACTAATCCCTAAGCCATGCGTGACCCCAATTTGTTGAATATTAAAATCAAAAGCTCTCATTGTATATGTAGTTTACACACACACATATGCATAAATACAAACTTAGCAATTAAAATTTAACTTCAATGGAAATATTTAAAAGTGGAAACGAATATGACAAAAATAGAAAAGATGTATAAACTTCCAATTGGGGGTAAATGAATTTTTTACCAGGCTGAAAGAATTAGGCTAATTAGAATTAAACCATCTTTAGTTGAGAAAATGGTAGTTTATAGTGTAGAATGTATGGAGTGTAATGATCTTTATATAGAGGAGAACAGAAGGAGTTTAAGTAGAAGAATAGCGAAACATGGACGTGTCCATTCTCTTATCTTCCAACATGTTATAGATACATAACATCGTTGTGAAAATAAATATATTTAAAATTATTTATTGCCAACCTAATGTCAATAATGTAAAATAAAATAATCTATTTTAACAAAATATAACAAATATAATGCAAAAAAGTAGGGTTACTTTGATATTAAGGTGAAGGTTATGTTCATGACGTCAATAGTAGGTATGCATATTATGTTGTGTTCAGTTGTGTAACACCTGATGATGCCACATTAACGTGGCGAGACGTAGTTTATTTGTTGTTTTCTCTGTCACGCTATTTTTAATTTTTAAAACTTCAGTTTCATATCTGTCCTCTTTTAACAAACGTAACTGTTTTTCCTTAAAGTCTTCAGATCTAATTTGTAAGAATTGATAGAAACAAGTGGATTAGTAAGCAGTTTCTTAATTTGTAAAATCCAACCTTGTATACTACATGATTAATAAATCCGTGGTCGGCGTAATTATCATAGCCCAGGATTACAGAGGGGAGCCTCAGGATCGAAAGATAAAATACCTTCCGTATAAAACTTTCAGAGTCCAGTACACTGGTATTGTGATACCGACTCGTAAGAAAAAAACCAAAACTTTAGGTAATGATGGTTTATGTTGTTGTTTTTTCAGCTTAGTTGTAGAGTTTCTATCCAGTTGGCAAATAACTATATCAAAAACAAGTTCATTAAGTTTTCTACAAATGTTTCCAGGTTTACCGAAACGTTGTCGGTAACTTTAATCCATCTGTTATTTAATCATGTCTTGTAAAGATTCGGCGAGCTATAAAAGTTCTCTCAGATATACCGAAGGAATAAAACAGCCAGTAGCGGAAGTTCTAAAGGTAAACACTACTTCCAATCGCAAAATATAACAAAGTATTGATGAATAGTCATCATCATTATCTCGTATTTCAGGGGTAGTAAACCCCATGACCAGATGTGTTACAAACATTCATCTGTTACAAACATTAATCACTTTAGAAAATAGAATTCTTACTCAGCCTTTGACATTCCTTAGGAGTAACAATACTGGCTGCCAGTTTTCTGTCAAGAAAAGGAACAATGCTACTGTCTGCCAGTTTTACACTAACAATAAAGGAACAACAATATTATCTGCCAGTTTAATTTTAACAAAACTTGGGACAAAAATACTGGTTGCCAGTTTTCTTTTTAAAAAAGGAACAATACTATTGTTTGCCAATTTTATGCCAACAACAAAAAAAGAGACAATACTGACTGCCAGTTTTCTGGAGTCGTCGTCGAATATGACAAATATAGTGTGGTTGGAATACTATTATTATATACTCCTAAATTTTCAAAATCCATAAGAGACTAGATAAAGAATGAAGTGTTTAAAAAGTAATAGGCCTAATACTAATGTGTTCTGACAAGTATAATCGTAACAATATTGACTGCCAGTTTTCTGTTAATAAAATGGTAAAACAATATTGTCTGTTAATTTACTGTTAATGAAATCATAGACATTTACGTTCTTCTCATTTTCTTTATGTTGTTTCCTAATAAGATAATTTCATTTTCAAAGTTTTGATGTCTTTACATTGATAACATTAAAAAAGTTACGAATATTTTAGCACCTTCATAGCTCAAATTATAAGATATAAAAATCCTATATAACACCAATTTATTTGAACTGTAACAATATCAACTTCATTATTTTTACCTGCACATTTCTTCTTTATATGACGTAGTAATATTTTAATATATATAAAATCTTTTAATATATATATATCTTTTAATAGTATGGCTGACAGCACTCAAGAACATAGAGCGGCCTCTAGTGATAACATCACTTCCAGCAGGAAACTTCACATCCTATCCTTCATCAGCCGTGCCTTGTGTACAGACAAATGATTCGTTAACTTCAGTTGTGTTATTATCTCTCGAAGCAGATCTTCATCTCAACTGGTTTATCCCAGCTAATACAACCGAAGAAATTCTAAATTTAGAGTAAGTTCATTTAATAAAGTTCTCGAAGCGTATATCTTTATTGTGCTAGTGTTGTTATGGAAACGACATAGAGCCAAAGGATACTCTTGCAGAGTTCCATTACTGCCATAGTTGTTGCTCTTTAAAAGTTTAACTAATTTAGTACTGCCCTATTTACACTGCTCTGTAGAAATCCCTTATCTACAGACACGGTCATTAACTAACTGTGTTATTCTTCCGCCATGCCCAGGTTACTGCTAATACAATCGATAAAGAACATGTTACGTTTCAAGCAAAGATAAACTGTTTCTTAACTCGTGCGCTTGGGTTTAATTGTCCAAATGTGGATGAATAGTTACATTAATTTAAATTATTACATTATTAGATTAACTATTATATTGAAATTTATGAATATACGGTCATTTCTAGGAATGTAACTTCCATTTACATTTAGTTTAGTTTTTTAATTTCATTAATGAGAAAATAGAAGACTGTGTATAATGTACACATTACAACAGTTCTTCTGTTAATATTGCACTGAAGAAGTGTTCATCTATGAGTAAACGTACAGAATTGTGTTAATATTGCACTGAAGAAGTGTTCATCTATGAGTAAACGTACAGAATTGTGTTAATATTGCACTGAAGAAGTGTTCATCTATGAGTAAACGTACAGAATTGTGTTAATATTGCACTGAAGAAGTGTTCATCTATGAGTAAACGTACAGAATTGATTAACAGATGTAGTTCTAGTTCTACGTTTTCCATTTTTTTTATTTTACTGTTTTCTTTTTAACATTTTCCATAGTTGAACTTTAATCAAACCTTAATTTTCGTCATCCTTCTTCCATCTGGTGAAATGAGATTTAAAAATATCCACGCCGCTTTCGTTTTGTACATGAATAGTGAACAAAATACAAAATATATTGTGATTAACTATTGTTTTTGTATCTTTATTTTGCATTCATTTAGTACTGACGTCTTTATATACTAGCTTCTTAGAATATTCATGTCTGTTTTAATATTTAAGTATCTACTTAGCACTTTTGTTACATCCTCTTTTACCTTCGTCCTCTCATATAGTGAAATAATCTACACTAGTGTGGGATTCTTACCTCCGTCTTAACATTTTCATGTCGTACTGTGTTGTATCCCTGATTATCCACATTTTAATAACCTCGTCTTATCTTACTTTACTTTGGTTTTTTTTCCTGTGCATAGCAATTAACTTTCTGTTTAGTGTATTCATATTGCTAGTGTAGGACCATCTCTTGGCCCCCAGTGACACAGCGGTATGTCTGCAGATTTACTACGCTAGAAACCGGGTTTCGATACCGATGGTGGGCAGAGCACAGATAGCCCATTGTGTAGCTTTGTGTTTAATTCCAAACAAACAAACAAAGGACCATCTCTGTGATTAGTTATGTACATTAGTTTATTTGTGGTTTAGTATCTTTTTGTTTTGCTATTACTATCTCTACTAGTGCACCGTATTCTTATATCACATACTTACCCTCCCTTTCCTTATCGTTTTTGTGTTGTTATACTGGTCGCAAACATCGACAAAGTAATTAAGAGAAGTAAGTTTTAAAGCGATTATAGATTGACTTGAGGCGAAAAGTTAGTTTTAATTTTTTCCACAAAGATTTCAAATATTGTAATACGTAATGACATTGCGGTCTTTCATTCGTTAAATTTTAAAATTATTTTATAAATGATAAAGAAGAGGGAATCCTCAATAGCCGTGGCACTTAAAATTCTTTTAGGCAGGTTCAGAGTAAATTAATCTACGAGACCTTGGGCGTGGTCAAATATATCAATTGCCAGGGTTTGACCTCCTGAGTCCAAAACTGTAATTAGATCTCAAATCGGTCAAGAGATGATGGAGCTACGAGCTAAAAGTCTATACTTAAAAAATACAACAAAAAAACTCAGAGTCATTCTATGAGCTACTATGCCACGGCCAAAAAAAAAAAAAAAAAGACCACAACGAACTTTACTTCAATGTCGAGGTCAAAGCCTTGTGCTTAGGTCGCTCGACTCACAATCTGCGTGTCGCGGGTTCCAATATCGCCAAAGAGCACACTCGGCCTTTCAGCTGTGGGGATGTTATAATGTGACGATAAATCCGATTTTTCGTTGGTAAAAGAGCAACCCAAGAGTTGGCGGTGGGTGGAGTTGACTAGTTGCCTTCCCTCTAGTCTATCACTTCTAAATTAGAGAAGTTATCACTTGTGTAGCTTTCTGAGAAATTCAACAAATAAGCAATAACGTCAAATGATAAAAATATGCATCACTATGATAAGTTTAGTCCTCTAACTACTTCGTAATTTTGTGTACTATTATTGTATGTGTAAAATGTTGCGCAAAGAATATAAATCAGATAAATGCACAGTGCACGTGGTATAAGATCAATATATTCAACCCTATTGTCATCGTATACTCTACATTTGTTTTCAATTTTAGCAACATAATTCTTATCCAATAACCAAACGCTTGGGTTTGTTATCTCATTAAAATATCTTTCTTCTATTTAATGCCTTCTAAGAATTATATTATAAACAAAGAATTATGAATAATACATGAAAAACTCTTATTCAATGTTTTCCTCATATCAAAATGAATCTGATTTTGTTACAAATAAGTGATGGTTTTTACCACAGGTAATATATCTTGCAGATTAAGTCATAATGTGATTTAAATGGTTTTACTACAGGTAATATATCTTGTAGATTAAGTCATAGTGTGATTTAAATGGTTTTTACCACAGGTAATATATCTTGCAGCTTAAGTCATAGTGTGATTTAGCTGGTTTTACCAC